GCGTCGCTGGCCGGGGCCGGGGCCACCGCCAAGTCGACCAGTGCCCGCAGCAGAGCCGCCTGGCCAGCCAGCAGCGTCCGGCCTGGCCCCGAGCCGGTCAGCGCCAGCACATGTCTTGCTGCCGCCGCCTGCAGGTCCGCCCGCGCCCCGGACGCCAGGAAAGGCAGCAGCTTCGCTGCCTCCGCCTCCGGAATCAGCGACCCTGCGGGGCCGACGCCACCGGCCGGAGCTCCGGTGTCCGCCGAGGTCTCCCCCATGCCAACTCGCCCTTCGCAGGCACCCGCACGGTTCCCGAAGGATCCCTGCGCTCCGCCCCGCGCCGCCGCGCGCGCCGTGGACCCGCCCACCAGGACGCGGAAGCCACGGCGACCAATCCGAGGCTGCGACTCTGCGCCAGGGGCGGGGCCACGCCGAGGCCGGGGGTTGTGGGACTAGGCGCCGTAAGAGGCGGTGGTGGGGGTCACGTAGGGACAAACATTGTACGCTCGCCACCCCCGCCCACTCCCCGCCCTGTGTGCCTCCAGCCCTCGGTGTGGCCCGCTGGCACTCGGCTGATTATATCGGCCCTCTCCCGTCATGGATGGGGCGAAGACACGTGGTCAGTGACCTGGACTGGCTTTGGAATGTTAGAGCAGCCCTGTATTCTTGGCATAACCTCCTCGTGCTCATAATTTTTAGTTTTTATATATTATTGTCTTTAGTTGGCAAAAGTTTCGTTTAGAATTTTTGCATGTGTCCATGAGGGATATTGTCTGTAGTTTTCTAGTATTGTCGTCGTCTGATTTTGGTGTCAGGGTAATGATGCCAACCTGAGAAAGATAAAAGACTATTCCCTTCTCTTCAGATTTTTGCAACAGTTCACAAAACTGATGCTATTTCTTCCCTGAATGTCTGGTAGAACTCCCCAGTGAAGTCATCTGGGCCTGAAATTCTTTCTGGGAAGATTCTTCAACTACAAGTTCAGTTCCTTGGATAGATTCATGGCTATTCGGGTTGTCGTTTTTTTTCTTAGGTAGTTCGTGTCTTTCAGGAAAGGAGTCCATTTCATCTGAATTGCTGAATTCATTGGCATAAAGCTCTTCATAATGTTCCCTTACTGTCCTGTTAACATGTAGAATCTGTAGTGGTGTCACCTCTCTCATGCTTGATATGGGTAATTTATGTTTTATCTTTTGGTCACTCTTGCCAGGAATTTGTCAACTTTACTGATCTTCTAAAAGAACTACCTTTTGGATTCCAAATTTTTCTCTATTTTCTTTTTCAATTTCATTGATTTCCACTTTTACTTTACTATTTCCTTTCTTCTGATTCCTTTGCTGTTCTTTGTCTAATTTCTAAGGGTAGAAGCTGAGGTCGTCGATTTGAAATCTTTTCTATTACCAAGTTTTTTCCCCTCGTTTATTCTTTGACTCGTGGATTATTTGCTATGTACTTGACTTTTACATAGGTCATAAGCCCCTTACTAGATTGATGTTATTTTTATTTCACACCGAGGGCTAGCACAAAGCCTCCAGGGGCAGCAATGCGTGGATAGCCACTCAGGGAACTGTGTGCCCCTGAAATCCACAGGTCACAAGGTCCAAGAGCTGGGATTTGCCCCTGAGACCCGTGAGAAGGGCACTTCATAGCCTCCATCCTGACCTACTCTCACATGGAAGTCCCATGGAAAGTCCCATGAGGAGGAGGGGGGACAAGTCCAAGGAAGTGCCTGCCTCTCCAAGGAAACCACATGCTTCGGACACACGTCCTGCCCACAGAGGTGAGCATTTCTCAAGGAATGGAATTAAAATATTACGGATAACTCGGGTAAATGATGCCCTCTGGTAGGTCCTTTTGACTGAGACAAAAATGTGCACATTCAGGGCCCACCGATGTCCACTAGTGCTGACAGTGATCACCAACTGGGGAGACTTACATGTTCCCAGAATAAATGAAAAGATATGAAGTCTTTGACGAGAGCTGTGCAAAGAACTCCCATATACCCTTAACCCAGAGACCTCAAATCTCCACTCATACGTTATCCCAGGAATGACCTTTTAACAGGTGTTGTCACGTCTCTTCAGTCTGTCTTTGACTTTTGTGCCCTCGGCACTGACAGACCACGGCCAGCTATTGTATAGCGTGTCCGTGGACTCACACGTGTCTGGTTGCCTCATGCTTAGATTCAGGTTATTCATTCGTGGCAGGGATAGCATGAGGCGAAGCTGGGTTCTTGTCATGGCATCTCATCAGGTGGCACTGTGTCAATGTGTCCCAGCGCTGGAGATGTTTTTGATCAGTTAATTAAGCTGGAGTTGCTCAGGCTTCTTCACGGTGAGGTTGCTCTTTATCTCTTTGTATTTAATAAATATTTTATGAGACAATAATTTGAGACTATGTAAACATTCCTCATCCACCTTTCACTCGCTGGCTTTGCATGTATTGTTTTTCTCAGTTATTACCATGGTTGCCAAATGGCGATTTTCTGATTTCATCGTTTATCAAAAAACCTTTCTCTTGCCCTATTTGTTTACTTATGTTGACGAGGACTCATGGATTCCTATTTTAGTCAAATAAACACAATGCTTTATTCCCATTATTTTGATCCTCAAACTGTCTTCAATTTGGCCACTGGAAGCCCCTTCAAGGAAGTTCCTGTGTGTTTTAAAAATATCTTTATTGAGATATAATTCACATACCATACGAAGCACCCATTTCTATTCAGCAACTTTCGGTATGTTACACGTCACTGATTTTTTTTTACACAGTAGTAAAATACATATAACAAAATTGGCCGTTTAAACCATTTTTAAGTGTACAATTAGTGGCATTAATTACACTCACAATGTTGCGCAGCCATCACCACTGTATACTTCTGAAGCTTTGTCATCCAGGAGCGGAAACTGTAACTTTTGAGTATTAATTTCCCACCCGCCTTCTCCCCACCCCGCAGTGGCCTCTAATCTACTTTCTGTCTCTATAAATTTGCCTCCTCTGCGTACCTCGATGGTTACATCTTACGTAGCCATAATACAGTGTCAAAACCAAGGTATGTGTGGTTCTCTGCCATTTCATCAAGTGTGGGTCCAGGTAACCGATACCACAATCGAAATGGTATATTTAGGTGAACAAATTTCTTAATTTCAAAATAATTGTATGTTAATATGTATTAAATATCTTAATAGTTTCCTGTATGATTAGCAGTTTGTTTTTTTTTTGACCAGTTTACACTTGCCTTACTTTCTCATGGTTTTTTTTTTGCTTTTCAGTCAAATCTTTTTCATGTTTGTATTTTTAAAAGCATGCATTGCTTTTGTAGTTTAAAATGTGAAAACCTGCAGAAGCAGACTGCCACAAGCCACGCAGTTCCTTTTACCAAAATGCCAGGTCTTGCAGCTCTCCAGGCCGCGTTTCAGCGTCAGAAAGAGCCACCCACACGGTAGCTCCCTAACCAGAGCCCTGCACAGCTGGCGACTTGTGGGAAGGTGGGGGAGACCAGCTGTGGCCACAGAACCATGGGGAAGAAACGTTCTCAGAGGCTGAGAACTCTCACAGGAAAGCAACCGCTGCTCAGGCAGCCCCACAGAAAGGCGTGGAAAGCGAGGCCGGCCTTCACAGACAGCCCAGATGGCCAATGCGCACGAGTGTCCCTGCAAGGTCACGGCTGTCTAGAAAGCAGCTCAGCCCTGGACCCTGCACTTCAAGACAAGAACCGCCTCCTGGCGACCTCAGGCTGAAAGGTCATGAGGATGCTGCTTCTTTACTGCTTATTGGATAAGGCAATTGGGGCCTCCCATCGACTCTTCTGCTTTCCAGTCTAAAGGTGACAAAGCTCTGACAGACTCCTGGTTTCATCTGCATCGAAAGGCAACTGCCGCCACCCGCACACCTGTGGCCACCCAGGCCCTCGCCCTCCCTGCATACCTAGCACACTAGTACCCTTTCTCACCTTATCCCAGTGATCTACTGACAAGCATTGGCTGAGCGCCTGAGCAGGGACACACCCATGCTGTGGGGCCCTGCTCCGGTCGACAGGCCCACCCCGATCCTGTCTCACCCAAGCCCACCATGCCCCCAGCCCCTGCCTCCCACACACGACTGGCCCCAGCAGGTCATGATGCACCAGCCAGACATCCCTGCTCACTCCAGAGGCCCCCAAACACAAAGGTGGCATCCGCTTTGCTGGCCATAGCCCTCTGGACTTTATTTCAGCCCCTGGCCTTGGCCAGGGGCAAACAGCTGGGCGAAGGGCTGCATCCCAGCCCCACGCTGGGAGGGAGAGGAGGCCACCGGCCAGTTCAGCTGGAGCTGCCGGGGTCCGCGTCATCCGGCAGGAAGTAGCGCTGCAGGGCGGGCTGCAGGAGCAGCGGGGGCAGCGGCCGGGCAGGCCTGGGCCAGTCCGGGGGGAAAGGCTGCAGGTCCACCCGTGGCAGTGGCAGCTTCAGCATCCGGATCGAGCCATCGAGGGTGCGGCTCTTCCAGAGCCGGGACACCATCTGGCCTGGGGCCAGCAGGACAGCCAAGTGGGACCCGGGCTGGGGTGGGGGTGGAGGTCAGGCCCCAGGCTCTACCCCTGTCCCCACTCACCCCTCAGGTCCATTGGCCACCTCTGCATCTTGGTCTCCTGAAGCCGTAAGATGGGCGGGTGCCTGGGGGTGAGGAGATGGGTCGGACCTGGCCAGGCCCTCGGACACCCTGCACAGGCCCCGCCCTGCCCGGAAGCCCTGCGGGGGCTCACAGGCGGTCTCGGGGCTGCGGCACCACGGCGTTGAGCTCCGGGGCGGCTGGGCTCAGGCTGTGGCGCGCAAACTCCTCCTGCGGGGAGCCCTGCTGCGCCCGATACTGCTGGCAGAAGAAGTTGAGTGCATCGATGGGCTCCAGGTCCAGCACCTTCGACTGTGACCAGTGCGTCTTCTCCAGAGGCAGTGGCTGGTCCGGTAGCACGGCGGGCGCCGAGGAGCGCAGGCGGACGTCAGGCAGGAGGGTGAAGGGCAGCAGTGCCTCTGAGAGCGTGCGTTTGGTCTTATGGACGTGCGCCTGTGACAACAGCCACTGGGCCTTGAACTCCAAGGTGGCCAAGCTCGCCTCCCCAGGGACCGCCAGCGAGGGGGTCCGGGTGGAGGATGTCACGGACACCATGGATATCTGCGACGAGGCCTCCTTGGGCGCGGATGAGAGCGATGAGGTATCGGAGACTTTGGGCAGCACATCCGACAGCTTGGCTACCGTCCCCTTCAAGGTCTCCATCTGCCGGGGAGTGGCTGGTGGAGGAGGCACCAGGGCCCAGCGCAGAGCCTGCCCTCCCCCAGGAGGCCTGAGTGGTGCTATTCCCGGCTCCGAGCCTGCCCCCTCTGCCGACACCCTCCCGGAGGGGAGCAGGAAGACCGCGAGATGGGGTCTCCAGGGGCAGGGGAGGCACACAGCTAGAGCAAGGCAGGAGCCTACAGGCCTCACCTGGCTCTCCTCCCTGGACGTGGGGAAAACCTTGGGACAAGGCAAGAGGCTCCACCGGGCAAGTGGCCCACCCCACCCCTGCCACCCAGACCTGCAGGCGCTGGATCATGTCCTCCAGCTTCTGGCAACAGCAGTTGCGCACTATGGACTTAGAGTCGAGATCGGGGCCCTGGAGCCAGGTTATCATCTCCTTGAAAAGGAAACCCTCCGGGTCCTGAAGGCCTAGCCCATCCAGCAGCTTCTTGAGTTCGGGCCTGCGACAGGTGAGTCGCCTTATTCTGGGCCCGCCCCATTCCCCCGCGGGGGAGGGGGGCAGGCGGAGGGGCCTCACCGGCAGGAGGCTGGCGAGTAGAGGAAGTAGGACATGAGCTCCAGCACCACGTCGTGGGACTCCAGGGAGCAGGCCAGGAGCAGCTGCAGCGCCAGAATCACGAACTGCTTCTGTGTCCTGTCCTGAGCGCAGACAGGTGGAGCGCGGTTGGTGCCCGGGGCCCAGGGCGTGGCCGGCGGGGCGGGGCTGGGCTAGGGGTGCACCTGGAGGCTGGGGGGCGGGTCCAGGTTGAGCAGGCGCAGGAGGAGGCTGTGCAGCAGGTTACAGAGGTCTTTGCTCATGTCTGGCAGCAGCCTCAGCAGGGCGTGCAGGATGTGCACGCGGTCGACCCAGGCTACCTTCTCCAGAAGGCCCATCAACAGCGAGGCCAGGCCTTCCACCGTGAGCATCTCGGGGTACATCTCGGGGTACGACTGCAGGGGCGGCGCGCTGAGGCCCTGCCCCGGGGCACCCCAGTCTCCTTCCGCCCTCGACCCCAGCCCGTGCTTCCCAGGGGTCCGAGACTCCCCGAACCTCAAGGTTGAAGATGGGGAACAGCTTTCTGAACCAGTTCTGGACGACGAAAAATTGCAGGAACCTGGGCAGATGCTCGTAGCTTTCTTGCCAGAGTGAGCGCCCGTATCGGTAACGGAAGCGGCGGAGGTAGGTCTCGGTCCTGACGTCAACCTCGCCGGAGCGCCTCTGGGTCAAGAGCTGAAAGCTCTGAGGGGAAGGGGGGGCGGCAGCTGCAGGTCCCGCCTTTCTGACCCGCCCCTCCCGCCGTAGCCCTGTCCGGGCGCCCACCTGAGTCGCCAGCTCCTCAGACCCCAGCGGCTTGGGGTAGAGCTGTTCCTGGGGGCTCAGAGACTCTGAGGCCCACTCCAGAATCAGCTCCTCGCCCTCGTCCTCACTCGCCTCCTCACCCAGCCAGTGGATCAGCTTCTGCTGCCACTTGGCGTGGCGCCGCCGGCGCCGCTGCAGCCACAGGTCGTCCTGGCTCCCGCTGGGCTGCGAAGGGGAGAGCGCGAGTGGCCGCTGGCGAGCCCTGAGGCCTTGGCCCCTCCCGCAGAGCCCCCCCTGGCTCGCCGCTTGCCTGGAGTGTGGGGCGGCTGGCAAGCTGGGTGTGGGCTCCGCTGCCACCGACCTCCCAAGGCTGCCACATCCGCTGCAGCACCGCGGAGTTGGGGATCCAGCCCGGGAAGTGGATGGGCCGCTGCAAGTACTGGGGGTGGAGCACGGCAGGGTGGGCCGTGAACCCGAATTCCGCCCCATCCCGGAGACCGCCCTGGCTGAGCACCAGGCACCAGCCCAGCTCTGCCTGCTGGTCGCCAACAGCCAAGCTGGGCTCCACACGCCCAAAACACAGACCAGCGGGGATCCTTCAGAAATCCGGGGGCGCAGTTAGTGAGCGCCGTGGAAACTGAGGACGGAGAGGGCCACCCTGACACCCCACATGCTTCCCACTGGACATGGCCCCCGGTCCTGGGGCACAGGTGTCTACAAGGGGGGCAGAAGCCTGAGAGGGCTGTCTGGGCTTGAGGACATGTGCAGCAGCTGGCAGGATCAGTGGCCTCCTGGGCAAGTGACAGTGCCACACTCGTGCTGGGGCAGACCTTGGGGCCTGTCTGGGCATCTGGGGTGGGAAGGCAGTGGATTCGAGGGGCCAGCTCCTGTTGACTTTGCTGCCCTGAAGGGAGGGGACTGTGGCCTCCCAGACAAAGCCCATGGGGGACCCGCTCACTAGCACTTCTGCTAGGGAGGGTACAGGGCACAACCAGCTGGCAGAGGCTCTGGCTTTGCCCCATGTTTGCCTCCAGAGTACAAGCAGACCAGGCCCACAGGGAGCAGTGGCATCAAAACCGGGGGGCTGGGAGGGGGTGGGCAAGGGCTGCAGGTGGGCATGGCCTCAAGTCTGATGTGGACACAAGGGTTTGCAGCAAAGGGAAGATGGGGTGCACAAGAAGGGTGCCACCTGGAGGGAGGAGCCTCTGGGGAGTATGGGTGTGTGTCTCACCTTGTAGGGCTGAACAGTTGCTGGAAAGAAGCCCCTGAGGTTGGAGAGTGGCTCCTTGGGCCGCCTTTCCAGCAGCAGGGAGACCTGGGGATGGGACAGGGCTCAGAGCCCCTCCTCTGAGCACGGACCCCAGGACCCTGGCAGCTCTTCCCTGGGTGGACAGCACCCCGCTTGCCTGGGTCCCTCACCCTGCGCTGCAGGTGGGAGCATGGTGGGACCGGAGTTGCAGGTCTCTCCCTGTGGAGCTGCTCCCACTGCAGCTGCAGATCCAGACTGAGGCCCAGGTAGCAGCTCAGGGAGGAGGTGGCCAGCAGCTGAGGCGTGAGAGGAGGAGTCAGAGGGCACTGGGCAGGGTCACAAGGTCAGGACACGGGGTGGGAGGGGCAGGAGGCCTCACCTGGGAAGCCTTGCTGTGCACACGCCGGCGAGAGGGTGGGATGGGTAAGGAGGCTCGGGGCTGGCGGGCAAAGCCCAGGCCCAGGGCCCTCAGGTCCTGTGGGGGCAGGGTTGTCAGCACTGTGGGGACTTTAGTGCAGACCCCAGCCTCCCTGAGACTGGGGCAGCTCTGGGCAAGGCACATACGTCCCAGGTCTCTCTCTCCGTGGGGGGGGTTACGGTGCCCTCTTGCTGGATCTCTTTTCCAGAATGCGTGCCCTGGGAGCAGAAGTGGGCAGGTGGGTGTGCCGAGGCCAAAGGTGGGGGGGGGTGGGGCTGGGGGATGGGGCGGTCCCACACCCACCAGCAGGGCTGGGCTGCAGACCAGATGAAGGTAGTTTTCAAAGGCCTCCTGGCGCTGGTGCCAGGAGAGGGGGGGCTGGGCCGCTGGGACCACCAGCCCCTGTCTCAGCTGCTGAAGGTCTTGGTCCCGGGCAACTAAGGTCTCCAGGTCCTGGGGGGAGTAAGGGGTCAGCTGTACTCGAGCCTTGTCATGTGCTGCCCAGACAGCGCAGTGACCCCAGGCCCTGAAGAGAAGCGGCCTGAGCTTCACCCCGCAGGGCTGGGGCACTGGAGTGGGGGGTGGGGCATCACCTCCTCCAGCAGTGGCTCCTGTGGTGCTGCGGTCTGGTGATGGATGATAGACAAGGCTGCGCTGCAGACAGGGATGGGTGCAGGTGGGACACCAAGTGGCGTCACCAGTGGGGTTGGGCACAGGATGGGACAATACCACAGGAGGGTGGCCAGGCCCCTGATGGGGCACAGGAAACAGCTGCTGGGAGAGGGGATGCCAGGACTAGGACAGGTTTGAGGTGGCCAGAGGTGGCCGGGAGCCCTGGGACCACATACTAGGGACACTCAGGCAGGCCCTGACACAGAGGAGCAGGGCGGGGGCCTCCAGGACAACTCTATGGGCTGCCGGCAGACCTGAGACTGGCCACCCCATGCAGGCTGGCAAGCCTCTGCTGCTGGGCTGAGGTCAGTGGCTCCAAGTTGGTCAGCGGCAGGGGAGGGTCATCCACCATGGCAGGAACCTGACCACACAGCTTCTGAGCAGGGAGAAGAGCCTGGAGCCCTGGGCCGGGAGGCTTGTCTGCCCATGCAGCCCCGCCTGCCCAGCCTGTGCTCACCGCACACCTTAACCAGGTAGGATGTGGGCAGGTAGAGCCGGTGAGGCACCAGGCAGAGGCGCGAGCCCAGTGCCAGCACCAGGTCACCGCTGTTGCTGCAGAAGGTCAGGGCCTGAGGAGCACCGTTCAGCTGCAGGAGCCTGGAGGGGTGAGCACGGCGAGCACGGCTGGAGTCCAGCCTTGCTGCAAGGAGTGGGCAGCAGGGCTAGGCCCTCTCCCCCGTCCAGCTCCTGGGCCCTGGTGGGGGGCAGAGGTAGGGGAGCCCAGCTGGCTCCCCCCAGGCTCCCATTCCACCAGCCCTCCCACCCTTCGGGCCCCAGCCCACCGCAGCAGGCGGTTCTCCGCGGTCCATATGCGGATGGTGCAGTCCAGGCTGGAGGAGGCGTAGAGCTTGAGCGTGGGACAACAGCATAGGCCTGGGAGCCGGGGCCCAGGGTCAGGGACCAGAGCCACTGGGTACCCTGGGCTTCACCTTTGCCCTGCCCCCTCACCGGTGACGTGGTCCATGGGGTCGTCCTGGGGCCGGTGATCACAGCGCCGGCTGTGGCCCAGGCCAAACTGCACCAAACCATAGGTGGCACTGTCTGGGTCCTCAAAGGCCACAGTGACACGCTTCCCAAGCGCACAGAGCACCTCCGCGGGGTGGCAGCAGGAGAAGGTGCGCAGCAGGCTCAGGCTCTCCTCAGCATAAGGGAAGACGCGCCACATCTTGACAGTCAAGTCCCCGCCTATGGGGGCGGAGCCAGGGCTGGGCCTCTGCGGAGGCGAGGGGTTCTCAGACAGGCTGTGGGAGTGGGAGGTACTGACCTGAGGACACGATGCTGTTCAAGGTGGACGCAATGGCGGTGACGGGGCCCGGGCTGTGCGCCCCTGTGCGGAAGACAGTCTTAGGCGCGCACAACTCGAGTACCGACAGCGTGCCATCTGTGTGCCCCAGCACAGGCAAGTACCTACGGGCGACAGTAGCCTGTTGGTGCGGGCCCTGTAGGCTCGCCTGGCCCTCCTCGGTTCTGGCACCCACCGGTTCTTGTCCTTCCAGGCCTGGGTGTCACTACGACACAGCTCACCCCCGTGCTGGCGCACCATCTCCCAGGTGGAAAACGCGCTGGCGGGGTCTGTGAGGTGGCTGTAGAGGTGCAGGCAGCAGGGCCTGGGCTCGGGGGAAGGCGGCGGGCACGTGCGGTACAGCACGTACATGGGGCAGCGTGCCGCATTGGCACACACCAGGTCCCCAGAGCGCATCAGCAGCCACAGTAATTCGCGAGGCAGGCAGTAGGCCACGGCGGCCGCGCAGTCGTCGGGCTCGAGCAGCAGTGAGCTCACGGTGCGCCCCGTCGCAGCTGACACCAGGTAGACCGAGCCGTCGGCGCACGCGCACACAAGGCGCACGGGCAGTGGTGGGTGCAGGGGCATGGGCAGCGCGGGCGCCACCTGCAGGTGAAGCACTGGCGCGGACAACTGCGCCAACGGCGAGTAGAGCTCGCACAGGCGCCACAGCTCCACGCTGCCGGCACGTAAGGAGAGCACAGGCCAGCCTCGGCCCGCGGGCGCCAGTAGGCAGTCCACGTGCCCAGACTGCACCTCGTGGCCCCAGCAGCTCAGTGCCACCTCGCCCACCTGCGCCGCAGCTTGCAGGTCCCACGTGCGCAGCGTCCCGTCCTGCGAGGCCGACAGCACCAGGGAAGTGTTGGGGAGCACGACCATAGCTGTCACCGGGCCTGCGGGAGGGGCGCGGGTCACTTGGGTGCACCTGAGACCAAGGGAAGGGGAGCCGTCAGCCCGGATTGAGGCCAGTGCAGAGAAGTGCAGCCAGAGCCAACGGGGATTCTGGACAGCCCAGACTTCTTTAAGGCAAAGGGCCGCGGAGAGACAACGGGCCTCAGAAGCCGGCATGGCGCACCTGTGTGGCCCACGAACACCATCCGGATCTGCCAGTCAGCCTCCCACACTTTCACTGTGCTGTCTCGGGAAGCCGTCACCATGGCCTCAACCTCTCTGCAGTACGCCAGGTCAGAGATGGTGCTGGGGGTGGAGTGGGGAGAGGCCCCTCCAACTCAGCATCGCCTCCCGTGAGCACCCCTGCCATAACCGTCTTTTCCTCGCGGACTTGCCTCATGGGCCCAGTCCCTGGGACCCCCTCACGTTTTGTGCAGATCCCGGCGTACATCTATGACAGCCCAGGTGTGCAGATCAAAGGTGAGCACGGCCGAGCCATAGGCTGCGAAGCAGCAGCAGGCGTGGTGGGGAGGCAGGGGCCCCAGAGCCAGACGTGTAAGCGCACCCAAGGAGCTTGGTAGAGGCTGCAGAGGTGACCCCTTGGGCACCAGACAGCGACCTCCTAAACGGAACTTCCAGAGTGCTAGGCAGCCGCCTGCCTCCGCCACTAGCAGCAGCCCCAAGTCAGGCACAGGCAGGCAGCAGATGGGCTCCTGGCCTGGGGCCCTACCCAGCCCTGGCTCACTCAGCCACAGCAGGCTGAGGTCGGGCCTTAGTATGGCCAGCCCCTTGGGGCCCCAGCCCACAAAGCGGCCCACGGAACCCAGTGGTCCGAGCACTGTCACTAACCCCGTGAGCACCACGGGGGCCAGCAGCTTCCCGTGGGCCCACCCGTCCTCTCTGTGCAGGTGCAGGCGGCCAGCGCCGTCCAGCACCACCAAGCGTCTACCCACTGGGTCCTGCGCCACGGAGCACAGCCCGGCTGCCACCTGCAGGCGGCGCAGTGGCTCCAGTCCGTGCGTCAAGCGTGCCACGCGCAGCTCGGCTCTCTTTTCCTGCAGGCAGGGGTGGGAAAGCCTGCGGTCAACTTGGGGGGACCGGAGAGAGGCGGTACACCCGCCTAGGAGAGCCAGGAAGATCTGCTGGGATCATGCTGGGGACCCCGAGGGGGAGAGCCGGGCCAAGAAAGAGGCTTCAAAGCAGACGGCCCGGGCCACACCTTCTCCACAAAGTCGTGCAGGCCTGCACGCAAGAGTAGCCACAGCTGGCGGGCGCGCGCACGTGGGGTCATGTTTTGCCACCGTGAGCTCCTGGTAAAAAGCTGAGAGGCAGGCTCCGAGAAAGACGACTCTGCGGGCCAGCGGTGGAAGCGCTGTCACTATGTGGCACTGGGTGCCCAACCAACCCCAGAGGTCAGCCCTCCAGAGAGCCCTGTGAGTTAGGGGGCTGCCCTGGGAGCCTTGTTCTTGGTGGACAGAACCCGTGCCTGAGTGAGGCCGGCTCTTAGGCCAGGCCACCTCACCATTTTTTTCTTCGAGCAGCCCGGGGTCCGGGATGTCATCGATATCACTGTCATACTGGTCCGGATCCAGGGCCAGGCTGTTGCCTTCTACTGAAAAGGAGTTACTTGCATTCCATATATCCGTCTCCATTTTGGCCGCGGCAGGTCTTGGCGGCTTAACAGCCCCCTACCGCCTGTTGCTAGGATACCAGGCGACGCAAGCCGCGCATTCGACGCAGGCCCCGCCCCAGTGCCGCACAGAGCCCAGGTCCACTGTAAGTCTCAGAAACTTTTATTGGAAACAAACGAGCTGCTGCAAAGTGACACTCAGTGCACGCTGCCCAGTGGGCGAGGTTGGGGGGTACAGGTGGGCCCCAGGATCCGGCCCAAGCCCAGGGCGGATAATCGCTGGGGCCCGCCTGCCAGTCCCGGGCCTTCTGGGCTGGAGTGTGCAGGACGAGGCCTGAGCCGGTACAAAATACAAAAATAAACTCTGTGGTCCAGCTGGCCCTGCCTGTGTCGGTTTGGGCAGGGCAGTGGCTCCCCGCAGCAGGCCCTGTGCTGTCTGTCCAGTCCAGCCACAGTGTGGGCAGCAGAGCCTGTGAGGGTGAGCGCTATCGGTCGGCTGGAAGCAAAGGGCTATGTGGGCAGCGCCAGGGTCTGGCCAGCAGCTGGGGAGGCCCTGGGGCTCCTCAGGTGGGCAGGTCCAGGCGCTGGTTGAAGCTGGATGAAGCTGCGGCCTCTGCGCCTTGTCACATACAGATCACCGGGACCCTGGGTGGGGGGCACACAGCGAGCCTTGAGGAACAAACACCGCGAGACCAGGCAGAAGGGCCCACCCTGGGCTGCCCACTCCAGGCTCCAGGGAACCAGGACACACCTGTCCTCCATGGTGCTGGGCTCCTCAGGGCCACCATCACTGCCTCTGCGCACCTCATCCTCCTCCCCCAGCTCCATGTCCAGCTCGTTGCCTGCCTCTGAGGGCGTGTAGGTGGATCCGCTGGAGGAGGGGGGTGAACTCGATCTTAGGACTGCCTGCCCCAGCCTGCTGCTGACCCCAGGAAGGATGTCCAGGGAGGAAGGGTCAGGAGCAGGGTGGGTCAAACAGCAAGCTGGGGGGAGGGACGTGGACGGCGCCAACCTGATGGAGCGGCAGCTGAAGAAGACAACCCGTTTCAGCCGCTTGTTGTAGAAGAAGTAGTTAAAGGACCACAGGCTGCCATCCTCCCCAAAGGGGTCCGAGTCCAGGTCCGGGTTGTAGCTGGGGAGAGTGGGGGCAGAGGCCGCTGGTGTGAGGGCCCAGCTGCCACACAAACCTAGGGCCCACCTGTAGGGAGGCCAGCCCACCTGTAGATGTCACATTCGGCCAGGCAGATCTCCTCGTCCACTGCGTTCCACAGCTGTGGCTTCAGGGCCTTGAAGTCTTCCCGCACGGCTGAGAACAGACTGCAGTTGACTGCATTCACCACCTAGGATGGTCACAGCCAAGACTGACTAGGTACCAGGATGGCACACACAGACTGGGGGAGCCCAGGGCCACAGAAAATGGGGGAGAACACTGAGGACAGCTGTGGGGCTGTGGGTCCCTCCCCACTTGCCCTCACCCAGCTGAGGCTGGGCTCCCGGCTGAACTCGTGGCTGCGAGCGGTACTGAAGTCGTAGTCAGGTCGGAAGGACTCGTTGAGCGTGGCGATCAGATAGAAGAGGGTCTTTCGGCTGCATTTGTCGCTGAGAGGACCCTCGTCCTCACCACCTTGGCTCTTGCTTAGTCTGCACAGAGAAGCGTCAGTCCAGCTCTGCCCTGCACCCCATGCCCCCAGTGGGCCAGCCCCGCCCCAGCTTACCTGCTGGGGCTGAGGCCAGAGGTCTGGGGCGGGGACAATGCCTCCAGCACATGTGGCTGGCCCTCCTGGCAGAATTGCTTGAACATGTGCTTGTCATCTCCCGCCATCTTACACGAGTAGCTTTCAATCCTACGGGAAGAAGGCAGGACCATGGAGCATGCCACCCCCAGGTTCAACTCAGGGCCAGGGCAGTGACCCCTGACATCAGCCCCTAGAGCCCCGGCCCCACCTGCCGATGATGTGGGCATCTCCTGTCTCCACAGTCAGCTGTGAGTTGATGGCCTCGAAGCTTGAGTTCTCCAACAGCTTCATGTCCTTAGGGAGGGGTGCTGAGCTCCCAGGGCCTAGTACTGCCTGGGGACAGGAGGGCAGTCCATGGGCATCTGGCCCCTGGGGCCCCACCCTCAGCCCTCTTCTCGGTAAATGGAACCACAGTAAACATGCTGGGGCCCTCCCACAGCCCGCTCCAAGCCTTCAGCACTAGGGGAGAGAATCCTGTCACCTGAGGCTGGCAAGTCTAGGACCTGCTCAGCCACCCCCCTCATTCCAGGTTTGGAGCCAAGGTGGAGGCCAGCTGGGGACCCTGCCCACCCAGGGTTCCTGGTTTAGTCTCTTCCTCAACACCCCTCATCCCGACAGAAGTGCCTCGACACAAAGATGGTCACTGTGAGCCCGCGAAGGGTCATGACGCCTGCAATCCCCCTCCAACCCGACTCAGCCAGGGTTAGAAACCGGGACACCTGGGGCTCGGGCCCTGCGGTCACCTGGACGCGGCGTTCTTCCCTGCTCTACGGGATGCTTCCTAGCGAGAGGGAAGAAAACCTACAGGCTCTGCCGTTCTCTAAAAGTGTGCCTAGTTTCTTCGGGAGCGGACGGAAGCTCCACAGCCCCTGAAGCGCCCGTCCGCGGGCCGCTAGGGCGCTCCGGCTCGGCCCGGCAGCGCCCGCCTCCCGGCCGGGGCCTAGCGAAACCCCAGCCGAGCCACGGCGAACCACAAACCCCGGGAGGCCGTGCGCCCCCGACGCACGCACGCGCGAGGCCAGCTGGGGGCTGTAGTTCTGAAGGCCCCTAGACGGCACTGGGCGCAGATCCGGCACCTACCTGTTTGCGCTGCGCTCTAGCTGGCCGGGCAGAGCCAGGCCGGGTCAGGTCGGTTGGCGTCGGTGCGGGTGAGAAGGCGGTGCGGGCTCCGGGCAGCGCGGGCTACTCAGGACCGGAGGGCGGCGCCGCGGCCTCCGCTCGTGCCGCACTGTATCCAAGGGAAGAAGCTCCGCGGCGACATCTCGTTACTCCCGGCCCTGCCGGCCCAGCCGGGCTGCCACCGCGACATAGCCTCGCCCCTGCACGGCGCCCGACTATCGCGACGGACCTACCCGCCGACCGCCACAGATCGCCAGAGCTAGCAAACGACCGACCGACCTCTGCCTCCCCGGACCGGACAAAAACAAGCGTTCGCAAGGCCCGGCCCCACGCCTCTGAATGGCCGGCTCCAGCAGCCGGATCGAAAGCTCGGAGAGCCATTGGGCACATTACCCGCCGCTCAGTCCTGTCTTCCACTCTTACTGGCTGCAGCACCTGTCCGTCACTTTTCTGCTGCCCGAACCCTCCTTTCTCCCTGCGCTCATTGGTCACGGCCTTCCCCTGCCCCGCCCCCACTGCCCGCCGGGGTTCCCGGGAGCTGCTGGCAGACCAGCGCGCTGTGGGCGGGACCCGTCCCCGGAGCTGGCGGCGGGAGGGGTTAGCCAGAAAGGAGCTGGGAGTGGCGGCCAGCTCCGGCCAGCTCCGGGGGTAGACATGGACCGCCGGTCTGCAGCCCCGCCCACTCTAGCCTCCAGGACGAAGGAGCCGCGCCCGTCTTCCAGTCGTGGCTGGCGCTTCTGTCCTTGACACTTGGCCCCAGCCTCGCCTGCCCTGTCTGGAGATCGCGTCCATCCTGGCAAAGCGGGAGGGTCAGTCTCCTCCTCCTCCGGGGCTCCGACGTGCTGGCTTCAGCCGGAACTTCAGGCTCGCGGCCCCGGTTTCCGGCCGGCGCAGGCGCTCAGTAGCCCGAGCCCACGGAAGCGGGCTCGGAGGGCCGGGACAGGGACGG